AATGTTATACACATATATAGTATTTACTCCATCCGTCATATAAAATTCTTCCCACTTTCCTTTTTGGGTCGTCCCAAAAAATTCCTCTCAGTTACCACTTTTGGACAATTTGTGTGGTTTACATTCATTTCACCCTTTTCTTACACAACCACAATCATACATTTCCACTTTATTCCACTTTCTTAATCTCCGTACCAAGTCAAAGTGGGAAGAATTTTATGGGACGGAGGTAGTATTTGTTAAGTGACTTTTGTTCTTTGGTTACATAACATTAATTATTTTGTGCACTTTAATTAAGACATCACCGTAAGACTCAAGCATATAATGATTTGACTTATAGGCTAAAATTTGCAATAATTTGACTTTAGAATGTTAAATTAAATGTTTTCTTTTATATAATATTTTTAGTAATATATATTTAATGCTTTTATAAAATCTTACGATTTGCGATTCGATTTACGATTCGATTTTTTAAACCCATGTCCCGATTCGATCTAAAAATACGATTTTAACAACCTTGTTGTAGATGATTCAACTCATCCAAGACGCTGGCCGATTTTAACTTTTAGGTGGTGTTCAATTTCTAATTGGGCCGCAGTTCTAATTTCGATTCATTAAATTAGTATTACCTTTTGTTAAAAATTGGCCAAAGATCAAACCTTAAATTTTAACATATAGAACGATGTAAATGTAAAATTTTAAACACGAAATATATTACGGAGTACTATTTTTAACCAAATACATATATAGACTACTTATTGGTTTGCAAAAAAAATTGTAAGTGAACTTTTAATTATTAATATAGAGGCCGTTTAGCAGCACTGTTTTTCAACTTATCAAGCTTATCAGCCTACTTATTCACCAAACATGTAACTTTTATTTTCGCGCGCTGAATTGTGTAATAAGCAGGAAAAGTAAGGTTGTAGTTACTTTTCTGGCTATATTGGTTGAAGTTTCTGTAAATGATCATTTTAGCTATTTTTACATATAATTTTTTCTATATTTTATTAACAAAATATATTTTGAAAATATTTTTTTCTTAAATCAAAAGAATCGGCCAATACAACCACTTCAGCCAGAACTTCATAAAATTCAGCAGGATCAACCAAATCAGCCGATTTTCGTGCTACCAAACGGGCTCATAGTGTAATACATTCCTTGGTGTGTGCTCTCATAATGTATGATTGCAATTTATTCGTTTGAATGCAATATTATTACTCTTTTTAATTTGGATTTTCAATTTATTTTTGAAGATGGAATAACATTTAAACCTATATATAGCATGTTGACAATCTAGAATGAATGGCACTAAATATGGTACTCTTCCCTTACTTTTTTTATGGTGATACTTTTTTCTTACTGATATCACTAATGCATATTAGATTTTGTTAATAATAACACTCATTGTATATAATGTGTTATGCTATTGTTTATGTGTTTAGGTCAATGCAAAAGAAAAACATTATCACTTTAGATAATCATTTCTATACCTAAAGAATTTAGTTACAAGTGCTACTACTTCAGAGAATTAAAAAGTACTTCGTACCTTTTTTCTCAAAAAAATTGAGTCAACTTCGTTTAAATATTTACTAGAAATATAGCTATATGCATTTACAATCTGATGCACAAGCTAGATTAAGACACCCGAATGTCTCCGATCAAATGTTACTTCAGTTTTCCACAAGACATGTGTGTTTCTCATAAAGTGTCAATGTAATTTAAAAGAGTAATGAATGTCTTCCAATATTAACGAAGGTCACTATCTTGCTTTAGATAGTATTTTTATTATGCATATCGACAATACATTGCTCGCCGGTTAGAAATTTTTTCTCTTTTTATCATACTCCGTATTATACATTATCACGATTTCGTTTAAAGAATTACATTATACATTAGTATTTTAAATTGTTGAAAAATACAGATGAAATAGAGTTTTTTTTGTCTCGTGCATCGCACGGGTAACATACTAGTTATTATTAATTATGTATAGTCACTTCATACGTGCAAAGTTGTACAGATAAATATGGTTGTACTTATATACCCCCATATTAGTGCTAGTTAGTTACAAGGCTTTATCCTCTCAACTCCAAGCCTTATTTAAAGCATTCTATGTAGATTGTAATTGTATTAATTCATTCAATCAATATACTTCTTCATGGTATCAAAAGCCTCTCTCTAAAGAGCTTCAATTTTTTTCCGATCCAATCATGGCAATCACGCCTACCACGCCGGTCATTCCTCTCACGGCCTCAAATCATTTTCCTATCAAACTCACCGCTTCCAACTTCCCCGTCTGGAAGTGTCAAGTTCACTCCGCACTTGTTGGTCTTGGCCTAGAAGGCTATGTTGACAGTTCCATTTCTTCCCCTGCTCAATACACGGATGACGCCAAGACTCAGGCTAATCCATGTTATGCCATATGGCACCGCCAAGATCATACTATGATTGGTGCGTTACTTGGAAGCTGCTCGGATTCTATTCAGCCATTAATCTCATTGGCTATCCATGCCAAAGCTGCCTGGGATAAATTATCCCTTACCTATGCAAGCACTTCATGAGGGCGTATCATCTCCCTCAAGACATCACTCTCTAAAACCACGAAAGGCGTATGGTCCATCATAGAATACCTTGCTGAAATGTATGGTATTGCTGAGGCGTTGACCCTTGCTCAAAATCCCACCTTGGACGAAGATCTGGTCATCAGCATACTTAACGGACTTGGATATGTATATAGCGACATTCTGTCTGCTATTCGAGTCCGTGAACAAAAACTTCCACTTATGGAACTCCAAGATATTCTTCTAGAGCATGAACAGAAAATTCAAGAGGCTGCCACGTACATGCAATCCATGGTCCCTGGATGATCACCTAGACTGAGATAAAATGGAGACGAAGTGTCTCCCATGGTCAACGGACTAGGCACGCCGGTGCCGCACAATGACCATTGATGAAGAAATGAGTTGCGTCAACCCTACTATTGCTCTGATACCATATTAGTTTTGTGCGCAAGTATGGAAAAATAATACTACCTTGCTTTAATCAAATGAGTACATCAATATATAACTATATATACACGTGAACTGCAACCCTACTATAAACTAAACCCTTTGGCCCATTAATTTACAAAATAGACTATATACAAAAATATCTGGCGGCGGCCCTAGCGGCGGAGCTAAGGATGAGGCTGAAAACATATTTGATCCTATTCTACTTTAATACCATGTCTACTTTTACTCTTGTGTTGTCAAATCGCTCAACAAGAATGGCATGTAGTCACGTAAAATTGATATGGTATCTAGCTACTAAACAAGATAAGCATGTGCATTCACTTTGATAGCATGAATTGGATTTGTGTTCCCATGCACTCCTATATAAATTGTTTCCTATTATCATTAGGATTCTATAATTACAAAATTTAGTTGAGAATTTTTATAATTTAGTTTGTAGCTAGGTATTTGGCTTCCAATGCTAACAAAAATGTCTCCAGGAATGATTACGATGCAAGTGCAATTTATGCACTTTAACATCAAAAAATTGATCACACAAATGAAGACACAAATTTTAAATGTGATCGGTGCGCTCGGGGTTTTAAAACCAAATTGGCAAGGAAATAGCATCGTAACAATGGTCATTGAGTCACTAAACAAGATAAGTATGTCCATTCACTTTGATAGCATGAATTGCATTTGTATTTCCATCCACTTCTATATAGATGATTTCCTAGCTGGAGTCATTAACCATCAAAAAAATAAAACACCAATGAAGACACAAAGTTTAAATGTGATCGGTGCGCTCGGGGTTTTAAAACCAAATGTCAAGGAAATAGCATCGTAACAATGGTCATTGGGTCACTAAACAAGATAAGCATGTTCATTCACTTTGATAGCATGAATTGCATTTGTATTCCCATCCACTTCTATATAAATGATTTCCTATTTTCATTAGGATTCTATTATTACAAAATTTAGTTGAGAATTTTTATAATTTCTATTATAATTTAGTTTGTAACAAAAATGTCTTCAGGAATGATTATGATGGGAAGTGCAATTTATGCACTTACTATTGTTTTTAGAGCAAAATTATTATGCTCGTGGTTTAAAAAAAACATTTTCAAAAATTCGGTTTTGAGAGTTTCAAATGGAATGTTTAGAAACCTTAGGCTCTGATACCATTTAAATATTACCGGTGGTTCCCAAAGGTTTTCGAAATGATATCGTTGTTTAGGAACTTTGGGCTCTGATACCACTTAAATTATCACGCCTCGGACCCGCCGCCAACGTCGACAACTGTCGTATAACCCATTAAGGGAAACAACAGTCCACCCTTGCCAAATTATACAAGGGGTCATGTATATCATACACACCAAGTATTCCTTAACAATATAATAAACTAAAAATATTTCATTATTATGCAGCGGAAATTAAGAATTAAAATAATAATTAGCCACACAAGGAATAATGCAGGCACACAGAACCAATACAGGCGTGAAATAAAAGAAATTATTTATGCATGAGCATTTCTAAGTGGAGTTTAAAACAGAATGGGGAAGCATGAATCAAGTCTTCACCAAGGCTGGCCCTGCCCATGTGCAACAAGTGGGGCCAAACAAGACCCATTTTCTAGGAGGGCCTAACTTTATTTAGATTTACTACGTATACTACGTATTGCATAGTGCAAAGTGTATTTAGAAATTACGCAAAAATGTATACTACTAATTTTATATATGAGCGCATCATGTATATCATACACTCTAAGCTCATAATAAAAAACACGCAAAAACGAGCCGAATTTATAGAAATCAGCAAAAAGTGGGCGACATTCGGTACGCGCGGCCGTTCCTGGATACGAAAGATATCAATTAAATTATTCAAATACAAATTAAATAAAAATCATGCAATTAATCCATCAAGAAATTAACCCTGGATCATAATTAACCACTTCTTCAATACCAAATCCCTAATTAAAACTACTCACAATTCATAATTGAATTAACAATATAATTGAGAAGGAAAGATTTAATTGTCATTAATTAAAAAGATTGAACGTACTTACAAATAATCCAAAGATGTTGACAATCTGAGACTGAAAAGCTCTCAAACATTCGTTCTAGACTTTATCTCTCTAAGCTCATAATAAATAACACGCAAAAACGAGCTGAATTTATAGAAATCAGCAAAAGTGGACAAAATTCGGTCTGCGCAGTCGTTTGCATGCCGTGCGGAAAACAGCGCGTACAATTTCCGTCAAAATTATACGCCAGTCCACACGGCCCGACCATGCGGACACTCCTGCAGTTGTGTTCTGAACCACGCGGCGTGCGGTTCAGACTTTTGCACTTCATGCTTTCTGAATCATCCGCGTGACGTGTGGGCAAGATGCGCAGGGCGCGCGGACCTCTTTTGGACCATTTTCTTGCTCTTTTCTTCCTTGTTCGATCCTGATCGATCCTCCTTCATTTTTTGACTTCTTTTAGCTCTAAAAATGGTTCTCAATCGTCCCGTCATCCCATGGGTCTCCAATGCTTCTTGTCATCTCTCGAAAGCGTCCCAAATCTTCTCAAATTAATCTCCAACGCCGATGCTGGGTTCAAATTCCTGATTTTCTCTTCTAAAAACATCAAACGCAAACCAAACCCGGTAAACCGTGACTTGAGCTAATGAAACGTTTTGTGACTCATTTAAATTAGGGAAAGTGGCAAAAATCAATCCCAACACGCATCAAATGCATGTTGAAATACGAAATTTATCAAATCTCCCCACACTTAAGCCTTTGCTTGTCCTCAAGCAAACTGAACTTCAGGACTTACGAAAATCACTACACGACATTAATAACCATCAGCATGCACATGTAATCAAAAGTATATTCACAGAAAGGACAGACTAAATTAAGTTAATTCTGCTCTAAACTACCTCTTTGTACTCTGACTAAAATCACTGACAAATATAATCACAACATCCTTGAAGGTAAAGCAACACACAACTAATCTTGCTTCTGATCAGAAGGACTTGTGAAGGTGATGGTAAGTGGTAAAAAAGTCTCTTTCTTTGGAAGTTTGGAACAACCTGACAGCAACTTAGTGTATTCGAAAGTTTCGGGGCTATTCTTAGGAACAAGGAGTTCCGCAAGACACTAAACATGAACTATCTTTTATTTCTATGCAAGAAGTAGTCGTGATGTATAATTAAGCTAAACCGTCGTTGCATATTGATGTTTTGCATATATTTGAAGTATGCGAAGAACTAATGCTAGAATTAGAAAAGCCTTCAAGTCCAATTTAATTCGGTTTGTTTTTCCTTGTCATGTTGGCACGAGAACGCCATTTCTTTTGAAAGATCCCCAAGTCTCATCTTATTGTGCAAAACACTTATGCTTTTTGACCGGGTCTCACATTCTCTTTTCACAAGATAAGAGGTCTAGCTATATTATTTAATAAAATTTATGTTTTTCATATTTTTATTAGACATTACCCCATTCTAATCTCAGTCTCACCAAAGAAAATTTATATAATTAGCAATCTAAGTTCAGTAGACAGGTGAATCCATGCCTATAACGCAATCCTCGAAAAACATCAAATTCCTAAAAAATGATTGTTCTTACCCCATTTGGGTCATATGAACAGTGCCAAAATTGGCTCCTACAAAACTCCCTAGACTTAGCAAATTATTCCCCTAGCACCCTAAACACCAAACACTGCGTTTTTCTATGTATAATTTGGCGTAGTTAACTTCAACAAATTATTTGAGTGCCTTTCCGATCGAATTTTGAGCTGAAATTCGTTAACGATAAACTAGACTTGATGAGGAACATGCTCAAAATATTTCATCAAAAAATTCCACCGGCAACCGCCCCAAACGGAGGTGTTCGGATGAAATTCGGATAGAGAAGTGCTAGACAGGAGCACTTCTCTCTCTATATATAGGGAGCAGATCAGGTGAGAAGTGTTCTTAGGCTGAGAACTCTGAAATTATTTAAAAAATTGTAAAAGTTAAACATTTGGCTTTATAAGTTATGTTTAACGTATTAATAGTTTATAAGGACATATATGTCTTAGTAAATAAATAAATATCTTTTTGATAAATATTGTTTTGTAAATATTTTTCAACTACTACTAGTGTTTTTCATTGTAATCTCATACTTCCTCAATTTATCACTAAAATTATACTTTTGATTTAGAGTTATTGGATTTATAAGTTGATTTATGTTATATAAGGATGTTTTTACTTGGACTATAATTCCTCCCAGACCAGACCAGATCAGACCAGACCAGTCCAGACCAGACTTGGATAGTTATAAAAATACAAAGAAATCAGACCAGACCAGACCAGATCAGATCAGACCAAACCAGACCAGCAAATTACAGTCCAAGTAAAAACATCCTAAGTTACCTTATTTTCTCTATTAGTTAAACTTCGCAGTTCTCAGCCTAAGACACACTTCTCATATATATATATATATATATATATATATATATATATATATATATATAGAGAGAGAGAGAGAGAGAGAGAGAGAGAGAGAGAGAGAGAGAGAGAGAAAAGATCATGTGAGAAGTTCCGCTTAGGCTGAGAAGCTGCGAAGTCTAACTTATAAGCTAAAAGCACGAACTTTTAACCAATAAATCATAACTTATAGACCCCCTCCAATATAATCCGGAAAAATAATATAACAATAATATAAAAAGTAGTAGAAATGTAAAAATAGATAAATAATTCTAAAATGTTAAATGAAAAATAAGCAAATATTGTATTGAAAAGTTAATACTTTATTGTTTATGATTCCTTATCAATAAATAACAAACTACGTATTCAGAAAAAATTCAGAAAAAATCACGTATTTAAGGATAAAGTGTATAATACATGTACTGTACATATTGATATGTATTTTATATAAGGACCGTTTTTAAACAATTTACTTAATATAATTTTATACGTATTGAAACGTAATTTTACATTAAAAGTGAAGTTGATATGATTTTTTAAAGTTGATAGTTTTTATACTTGTTATTACTTATATACTTATGAATTCAGGTTCATATATCTGAAAAAACTACATTTTAAACCGTTGAAAAAGGTGGTGCATATGTTAAATTATTCTTTAATTGCCGTATATTAGGCACATATTATATGCCGTAATTTTAAATTAGTATTAGGCACGTATGATATGCCGTAGTTTTAAATTATCCTATCACTAAATTAGCATATTAGGCATGTATAATATGCCGTATTTTTAAATTGTGAAATGTTTAAAACACATTTGTATCTTTATTCATTTCATGAACGTATGAAACGTATATTTAGTCGTCTTGTGATAATAGAATTTAAACACGTGAAACATTTTGATAAACAATGAAACACATGCATGACCCTATGTGAAAACAGACCCAACTACAAATTATTGCTATGGATACGGAAATAATTCCTAGTAAACCACAAATTATTGTAATTATGTACAATAATTTCTCAAGCTAATAATCTACTTGAGAGGGGGAGAAAACAAACAAAATTTCACAATTGGGTATATGAAATTATATCAAAGTGCCATAAGTCACTATAAGAGCATAGATTTGACGTACAAGTGGGTGTGTCGTGAACTCGAAGTTCCCGCGGTACATCGTTCACACATAAGATAGTGTGTGTGTTTATAAGCAGGACCTGAAGCCCTTCATGTGGACGTGTTTAACGTCGTGCGGTCCTGAAGTACCTAAGCGGACAATATATTATTATACGTCAAGATAAATCTTACAAAAGTGCTAAATGAAAATAGTTGATAGAGGATAATGAAAATCAACATTTTTACTAAATTTGGGATGGGGGCCAGCCGGCCTACCATGACCCTTTCCATTAAGGTGAAATACACACACACTAACATAATAGGATAGGATGGAAATGGATCTTTATATACTATGTATATCAAGCTGCAAGAGGTAACCAATTGGTGGGAGAATCCAGATATAGGGAGGCAAGTGGCTGTGGGAAGATTGGAATGGGTAATGTTGTCCAAAGGCAGCGGCCCCTGTATCGTCATCCAAATGGAAAATGCCATTGTCTTGAGGACCATAGGGACTAACTAAATCGATGTAATCATCCGTGTAGTATATGGAGTTGGGCTTCCCTTGAGGAAAATACTTGGCAGCCGAAACAGCCATGGTTACACTATCTCCTACAAAAACCACGTCCCCATCGATACTCTTCACTTCTTTCTTCTCCAACAATTCCCCATTCTCATCCAAAACCAGCCTCATCACCTCGAATCTTTTGGTTAAATGGGCATCTCCATCCCGTTTTCTGTGAATAGAGTACAGGTTCCCCTTTGATGATTCCACAAGATATGCTCGATCCGAGTACGCCTCAAGGTCGTGCAACGGAGGTTCTGGCACGACCGTCTTCAGTTTCGGCGGGGGCGATCCTGAACCGTTGTAAAGGTCAATGGAGATGACATTGGTACGATGCCCCATGATATAAACCAAATTCCTATGAAAAGTAATATCTGAGATGACCCATAGATCCATGTCTACATATACCCATTCTTTCTCCCCTGATTTGTGAAAGGCTACTCGTTTATAAACGGTATAGATTACCCCTACAACAAAACCGCCACCCGAACAAGGGTCTGCCGATAACACGACCTTTACAATGTCATACTGGTGCCCTCTTGGTTTCCTCTGCGGCAACTTAAGCTCGGGCAGGAGTATGTTTGGGACATCATCCTTAAAAGGGTTTGATAGCGTTATGACAGCGTTGCGGTTCACCGTGGCTAACCAGCCATAGCAAGAACTGCAACACCGCTGGGCATAACGCTGTCGTAACTTAACAACGGAGACTTCTTTCTCAGCTTGAAGGCTATATAATCTCTTCTTTCTCCAGCTCTTGTGGTGCGGGACCAGCAACATGGGGACTGCGTAATTACGCCATGCCCGCTTCTTTTTCGTGTCAAAAACATAACTTTTGAATAATGACTGCCACTGCTTGCAGACCGCCCCAAAGTGAAAAAGATTTCTGGGGGATTCCAACTTGTCTAGGACCATTGAAACACATAGTTCTGGGAGATTCTCCCAGCAGCAGGCAGCTTCATGATTTTCCATGGAAGATTTCGATCTATTTTAATTAACAAACAAAAACATCCGCTATAAGATTGAATCAACAAAACCCCACCGCAATCACCATATGTTTTCAAGCATAAAATTTACCGTACGTTACTTTATATGTTGCAGAATCTAGAGACCGTAGAAACTTACTACTAGTATGCAAATAATCACGGAGATTTCTAGTAGAGGGAAACAAAATCACAGCTTCGATCTATTGCACCACTAATACAAACCCAGACTTCAAACCAGGGATGCCGGAAGAAGAAATTAACCTGCGATCGAAACTACAGGCAACGATTTTCGATTGAGGATTACAAGTAATGCTGTGGGGATCGATGACAAACCTTCTCCAACACAAAAAGTAGTTAATACACATGTATTGTGAGTATACTTGGATACGGAAAAAAAAACCTCTTTTCAATAGGAGTATAGGATTGGTGAAACTTAAATAAAAGTGATAAGGAAATTTTTCATAAATAACCTAAAAATGAAAATAATATCACTTTTATCATATTTCAATTTTTTTTTTCAAAATTAGACTTGTTAAGTTTTCTTTTTCGATCAATAATAGACCTCAACTAAACCATACAGAGTCCACTATGGATGTTTTTACTTGGACTGTAATTCGTCCCAGACCAGACCAGACCAGTTCAGATCAGATCAGACCAGACTTGGATAGTTATAAAAATACAAAGAAACCAGACCAGGCCAGACCAGACCAGTTCAGACCAGATCAGACCAGATCAGACCAGACCAGACCAGCAAATTACAGTCCAAGTAAAAACATCCGTATCGTACGGACTAAGTCCGTAACTAATTCGGAGCACGTTAGTAGTTCAGCTGTTCAGGGCTCTTCGTTACTAAATTGCAAAGCTTTACAATTGTAACTTGAGTTAATTGGGAAGTCTTCACAATCTGAATTAAAACTGAAAATGTATCACAAATAAAAATCATTAAATATTCATAAAGATGATAACTATAAGAAAAAATATTAAAAATCTAAAAACCTAAATTAATTAACTCAAAGTAAAAAATTATTAACAAGTAAACCTTCTCCAACACAAAAAGTAGTTAATACACATGTATTGTGAGTATACTTAGATACGGGAAAAAATATCTTTTCAAAGTAAATTTATTTGACTCACCTACCGATTGAATGTTTTGATGAAATTGTGTGGACATGTTCTACACTTCATGAAGAATATGTTAAAAACTTTACATAACAAATTCAACCTGAAAGACACTTAAACGGGCTTGGCTGGACGGGAAATATTGTTAATCCAGATTGATCGGATCATTTCTACAGCTTTATATATGTACACATTATTAGATAATGTTGTAGTATTTTACTCAATTGTCACCCCTGACATTAAATCATGCCTTTTTCCCTGTTCAGCCGAAAGTTTTAAATTTTCAAAATTATATATACAATTGGCTAGAGTCGAATAGGTCTCTATACTAGTCGTTTTACTCATTTCGGTCCCTGAACTAAAAAAGTTCAAATCGTATCCTGAATCGTCAACAAATGGTTCAAATCTCAGTTTTTACAGGTCACTCATCGGTCATCTGCCATGTCACCCGTCAGGTTGCCAAGTGTTCTCTGACTTGAAAATTAAAAGCTAAAATAAGTCTCTCAACATGTTCGAATTGTTCAATTGTCCCCCTCAACTTTAAAAAGGTTTAAAATTAGAAAAAAATCAATATAAATTGAAACAAATAAATAATAAAGATAAATTATAAATATATATGGTAGACTATTTATTTATTTTATTAGTTTGAAATATGAGCATAAAAATATAAAATAGATGAAATAATACTCCGTACTATGATCCAAAAAAAATACTCCGTACTATGTACTACATATATTTTTTACATTAGTATTTTAATCTTAAATTATATTTTAATCCTTTCATTTCCCTACGGTAAATTTTATATCTTATTTCTAATTTATATTTTATATTTGGTATTTCTTATATGTATTATAGTTGGTTTAAATATTTTATATAATATTAAATAGTTTATGTTTAAACCTGCTCAAAGTAGGATGAAAATAGAGAAAAATTCTAAATTAGGACTATCTATGTTTCCTTTCCAAAATATGATTTATTTAATCCTAACTAGTACATTAGTCATATATTGGGATGAAAATAATGACACTCTTATTCGAGAAAATTTGCTATGTTTTACTCCTATTTAGGGATTCGTTTATCTTTAGAGCTTTAGTTTTGCTTTTATGTTTATATTTTATACTAGTATTTCAACATATTTATAACTTTAATTTTAATTTTTTTATTTTGTATTATACATAAAAATCAATTTATACTTTAGTTTATGCAAAATATTTTTGATTTGAACTTTTATTTTTTTTATATTACAGCTTATTTTTTAAGTATTATAAATTTCTATTTTATAATTCATATGTAGTAATTCAAAACTTCCGTAATGCTAACATATTAACAACATAAAATAAAACATAAAAAAATTAAATGAAAGCTTAAATAAAATATTAATTTAAAAACAAGGATATAATGTATGAACATAAATTTTGAAATTGTATTGTATTTTTTAAATATTATATTTATATACTTTATCTTAAGATTTGTATTTTTTTATTTTTATATGTGATTTATTAAAATTTTGGCACGTTTTATTAGTTTAGGGGTGATTTGAACAATTGTGATAGGTTCATGGACTTATTTGAACCTTTCGTTTCCACGTCATCGGTTTACTGGGTGACATGGTGCGTGACCGAAGGGTGAACCATATATAAAAAATGAAATTTGGATCACTTTTGGCTTGTTCAGGGTGTTGAATTTGCCCCTTTTCTTGTTCACAAACTTAATTGAGCAAACATGAGTTTGTTAGTTTATTTGTGCATAATTCACGTATAATTCACTCAAACTTATAATTAACGTATAATATTCTAGTTTATGAACTTTTAAGAAAATTCGAAAAAATTCACGTGTTTCAATTAGGATAAAGTGTATATACATGTACTGTACATATTGATACGTATTTTATATAAAAACCGTTTTTAAACTATTTAAAAACTATTTATATACTAGTAGTAGTAGTGGTGGTGGTGGTGGTGGTGGTGGTGGTGGTGGTGGTGGTCGTCGTCGTAGTGGTCGTCGTAGTAGTAGTCGTCGTAGTAGTAGTGGTAGTAGTAGTGGTAGTGGTGGTGGTGGTGGTGGTGGTGGTGGTGGTGGTGGTGGTGGTGGTGGTGGTAGTAGTAGTAGTAGTAGTAGTAGTAGTAGTAGTAGTAGTATACGTATTGATACATATTTTTACAGAAAATTTGAAGTTGACATGATTTTTTAAGTTGATATTTTTTATACTTATTATTACTTATTACACCTATGAATTCAGGTTCATATATCTGAAAAAACTACATTTTAAACTGTTGAAAAAAGTGGTGCATATGTTAAATTATTCTTTATTTCTATCACTAAATTAGTATATTAGGCATGTATTATATGCCTAAAATTAATAATGCGTGCCATATGCGCTTAGACTTCACTTTGCATAGGTACTCTTCGATGCAGCGGGGACGGGACAACGTGACATACTACGATTACGTACAGAAGTGCTGCCCTTCGTCTCGGCAATATGGAACCTCTCAACAGCTCCCGTTGGGTCCTATCGGGATAGGTAGGCCCACCAAGCCTTTCCCCTCCCACCTCCCTCCATAAGACCCTCTTTATCTTTCCCGAGGGGGAAAGATAAAGAAGAGAAGAAAGGATTCATTTGGTTCTTTCATGTGACCACACCAACCCTAGGTGTGGCTTGTATCGAAAGGGTTTTCGTGCTATACACCACGTTGAGAAAGACCAACCTCCTATGTACCGTACTCTTTTTGAACCTCGAAAGGGGGTCCTCCTTATGATGCTACGGACGGCTGTCCGAAGTGCAAGGGGTAAACTCGGATAGGATAGGATTGTGCTTCGGGTGTCATATTTTGTTACGTTCTACCGCTGTTACGCCAGAATAAAAGGTTCCACACGAGCTCCCGTTCTGCGGCGTGGTGGCAGGACCGCTAGGGGAGTGGCTCCGGGTGTAGATAGGGTTCAATCTGCAGGGGTCATGCAAATACATAGGCCCCTTCCCTTCTCTTTGGGTGGTTTAGAAGGCGCTTTCCGATCTACGGTCCCTCGGAGCGAAGGGTTAGGCAGGTAGTATGGGCCCTCTGACTTCCAGCTATGTGCTGTGCGGCTCCCGCGAAGCGAATGAAGGGAAGCTCGAAGAGCTTACGCTTACTCTCAGCCTCTTTGATTGGTAGGCGGGCGGGCTAAGCCCCCTACTGAAGATTCTCAATTCATAAGGCAAATTTGATGTTGTCGTGACGCTTTGGTTAGGCCGACTACTATAGGCTAGCTACTTCTAGCTTCTATACTGGCCCTTCCACTTTGGTGTAGTTTTAGTTTGTATTGGTACTGAATGAACATATCAAACAAAGGCGAGCAGTATAAGCCCTTCTCCGGCCTGGGAAAAGCAGCGAACTCTAGAAGCTAGGGCTTTGTTCACCTTTGGACACGAACACTATTCCGGAAACCCGCCTTAGAGATTGAACGGCAATAAGATAAGTCGACGTTCAATCTAAGACAGCGCTGAGCGCTGATAGCTTGTAGTGAACAGCCCCCTTATGAAACCAACCGAAAGCAGCCTTTGGTACTTAAGTAGTGAAGGTTTGGAACCCTTGCAACTATGATAGAAAGCCGTTTGCTTGTTTTGCCTTCGCCTTTCTTTTGAATCAAAGTAGGTCGCGACTGTTGTATTTTAGTCGGTCGGGGGGCTTCTACGACAGCTCCGCTTCTCTCGCGCTTGCTTGCTGAAGGCTTAGAGTCCTTTTCGCTAGGTCCAAAAGCTTCCCAAAAGATCTGATCCAACAGAAATCCCGCATTGAGCGTAGCTTATATGCGGCTACGGCTAGGCGATCATATCATGCCATAAAAAACTTTGATATGTATAGCCTAGATATACAGATAGAATATATGTTCATGGATAGACAGACATTCCATTGATTCTGGCCGAAAAAGCTCGTCGATCCAAATGAATCATTCTTCTGGTCTCTCTTCGCTCCCCGAAACTTACCCACGGCACAGCGCCCATTCGCTTATTAGCGGGAAGGCAACGAAGTTCAGTTCATGAGACCGCAGCGGAGTGGAGCAGCCGCGACACAAAGTTCCTTACCGGCTCCGTGGGCTGGATCTCGCTGGTGCCACCTAAACGGTAGGTAGGCGGCGGATGTATGACGTTTGGAGTTGTCGTTCGTGCACCTGTCCCCAATGGAAGAATGAGTGATCCATTCCCCTGCGGATCATGGCCTTACCACTCGGTCCCCGATGGCCTGCGGGGGATTCGGTATAGCAGCCCACGGAGCGGTTCGTTTGCGCTGCGCGTTCCCGCTGGACTGGACACATG